CCCATGCCCGAGACACGGCCCCCAGCAAATTTAGGTGGGAAGATGCAGGGCCCCGTCCAGGTAAAGACCGGGGTGGGGCCCCGGACGGAGATGGGGTGGGGAGGACTGCTACAATACCCCCCCCAAGGCCCATGTAACGGCGGGGTTCAAGAGGGCAAATCCCACCCTGCCCCACTCCATAACAAACACTAATGCAGATAGAGGTCCTACTTGATATTGATTTCCCTAGTTTAATTCATATAATATTATTTTTACTTATCTTACTAGTACTCATTAGATAGTACTTATATTATAATATTATCTTCTTTCATAAGTAGTCCTAACTATTTTCCATGGTCAAATAATACTTATAGCTTCTCAGTTGAATTACCTAATCTAGCTTAGTCTCTATACTGTAGCTTCTTCTCTTTTTATTAGGGACCTCAACTTTTATCAACCTCCTTATACTTTTCAAAAAGGTCTTGATTAGTAATTAGTATTGAAATAGATTTTAATAATATTTTAAATAGTTTCAATTAGTTTGAAACCAGGAAATACTAGTAGCTATTCAAGATGCAGGATTTAGTAGTAGTTATAACATAACTAAGTCAGGTGAGCAATATGCTTAGTATATTCTATCTTCTATACTAAGACTGTCCAATAGCTCTCACAGTACTAAAAGAGCTATATTTTAAAAACAGGAATATAATTAATAGATGTTTGAGCTATAATAGTACCTCAATTATCACATTCCTGAACAATAAGAATCTTCTTTTAACCATCTTACAAGATCCTATGCTAAATAATCACAGAGTCTTTCTTTTCAAATTTTGGTACCCAATAGTTCCTACCTTATCCCCCCTGAATAGCATAATATTATTATATTGTTATATAATTTTCTTTTGTATACCACCCAGCTAGCCATATCACTTATTGGTCCAGATAACTCTTCTCCAGTCTCCCAAGCTCTAATATGAGTGACTAAAAGCAAACTAACTTGGGAGTTATATTGAATATTTTGTTTGATTAAGAACAGCCTTTTTCTAAGATAATCATTAGTGGTAGGAATCTTCTAAGTTCTACACCTTCATGCGCCTTCACGAAAACCCGGCCGATTTCATAAAAGCCACGACATTACGATAACCCTCCAGCGAAGCGTTAGCTCTGCTCGGCAGCATCCGAACTGTGATGCGGCTCCGCGATCTGGCCCCACCAACTCTTGGCAACCACACCCATAACACCCCACCATCCATCAATCTCCCCCCATCAAAGAAAGGAGGAACAAACACCACCAACCCCATTACTATGTCCTCCTCGCCCCCCTCTAGAGAAGAAGCAGAAGATCTTACCCTCCCAACAGACCTCTTCACTGAGCCCCCCGACTTCCGCCCCGCCGACAAACCCGCCACCACGGTCTCACACACCCTCACCACCCCGCCCTTCGAGGACCTAACCCTCCGCCTGGTCGGTCACAACCCGCTATGGGGGCACATGCTCTGGAACGCTGGTAGGGTCGTGAGCACGTATTTAGAGGCGCACACGGGCTTGGTTTTGGGAAAGCGGGTCTTGGAGTTGGGTGCTGGGGCGGGGTTGCCCAGTCTTGTTTGTGCACTAAGGGGTGCTGGGGAGGTTTGTTCCCTTTGGGCGCTTTTCACATGAAGGGAGGAAGGAAGGAAGGAGCGCTGATGGAGGGTAGGTAGGTAGTTGTGACGGACTATCCGGATCCAGAGCTAGTGTCCAATCTTGTGCATAATGTATCGACACTTCCGCAGCCCGCCCAAGGCAGCACCGTGGCCAAGGGGTACGTCTGGGGGCGGGATGTGACAGAGCTTGGCGGCCCCTTTGATACGCTAATTCTCAGCGATTTGCTCTTCAACCATTCGGAGCACCAAGCGCTGCTAAAGAGTGTCGTTTGTTGTTTGAAGAAGACTGCTGATTCGAGGGCCTTGGTGTTTTTCACACCACATAGGCCTTGGCTATATGAGAAGGATTTAGCGTTCTTTGATGTTGCAAGGGGGGCGGGGTTTGCGGTCGAGAAGGTGCTAGAGGAGGTGTTGATTGGTCCGATGTTTGAAGAGGATCCTGGGGTGGGTTTTTGGTATTCTTCGGATTGAGAGAGGACTAATCGGTGGTTTAGGATCGGGAATTGAGGAGGACGGTGTTCGGGTATTTGATGAGGTGGGAGGAGATATTATGAGGGGATTAGGGGCTCACCGGGGGGGGTTTTATCTTGTGGGACTCTTTAGACAGCATGGAAGCACCTATCTATAGAATAAAGGCACAGGTATGTACAGTAGTAGATAGAAACCTTTCGTTCGATTACCTTCTTACATCAAAAGCATCCGTTTTCATCCCCCACTCTAAGAACACCAATGCCAGTGAGAATCTACCAAAATTTCACGACACATTATCAAACCCGTGGACTATCATACATAAGAGGCCACATAAGCACTAAAAAAGTATAAAGACATGGAGAGCGTGTTGGCCAAGTGGGAGGCATGGGGTCGCCATGTGCCTTTTCAAAAATCCGGATTAATCCCTAAAGTTCCCATTAAAATACTCAACGAAAAGTTCCCTTATCCTCTGCTTCCCGACAGGGTTCTGTCTATTTAGCGCAATAAATTGTCTTCGAATCCTCTGCAATTGTGGAACCGTGAGATCCCGTCCAGGCAATTCCAGAACCTGCAGATAGTTAGCCTCCATCTCCCTATGAACCTTAGAAGAAGCCTCAGCCAGGAGTTATACCTTCCCACACTCCGAGACAGGTAATTCCCCGCCCACGCCTCCTCCGGAATTCCTCTGATGTTCCATAACCAGCGAAACAACCTCCTGCGTCGTCTTGTCCAACTCGTAAAGATAATCACTCTCCGCCGCCGGTTTCTACAAACCCAAGCCATTAGATACTCCCTCTCTCCCACAAAGGACACAAAGAACCCACCAAAACCGTAGCTTGATTGGCCTTAACCTTGACTCCCCCAGCACAAACCGCCTCCCAAACCCCCTCCCAAACTACCACGCACTCCCCCTCCGAGTCCACCCATGGCACAGTGAAAAGCGGAGAATCCCACCTCGTCATACCATTCGGTTCCTCATATCTGAACATCAAATTCTCCAACGTCTCCCCGTCCCACCGTTCCGCAACCTCCACCCTCGCCGCGTTCCATTCCCGACACTTCTCCACGGGCGCTGCTACATGTACGACACAACTCGGCGTCAGCAACGCCTTCGCTTCGCAGAACAGCTGGTATCGGTAGCCCTTGATGTAGTTCAGTCCATCGGCAATCACGACATCGTCCCTTGAAAGAGCGCGCTTGACGGCAGAATACTCGGTTGCGCGGGCGGTCTTTTCGCTGGCGGCGATACTGTAGCTGGTTCTCGGGATGAGCAGCGTGTGCGGGGATATCAGGTGCAGTTTTAAATTCCTTTGCCGGGGCGGGGTGCTGGGTGAGTCGAGTTTGGCTTGCAGGTAGGTGTGGAGTTGTGTTGCGCGGGTGGTTTTTCCAGAGGAGGGGTAGCCGGTTATTATTATTAGCTTGCCGCGAGAGTTAGTATGATACTGTGCCTGGAAAGGGGGTGGGAAGGGGAGCGAGAACTTACTGGCATGGCGAAGGTTTTGGTTTAATGTGCCCGTAGTTGATGTGTTAAATCAGGATATCACAGATGGGCTCTCCTTATATACAGTTTGCTTAGGTGTTTGGAGGGGTCGTGTTGAGGCTCAAACTGAGCCGCAGGCCCAAATTGGCGGGGTAAACTACCACAGGCGACCCAGCATTTCTGGGATTTACTCGCTCACAATGAGTCACTCGAATAACGTAACACAGTTAACCCTTCTACGTTTGATTGAAATAGTGATATTGGAGCTGCGCCCTCTAGCGAAAACTCATTCACGGAAAAATCCTCCCGAGCGCTAAAGCCGTCCCGCGGGGAAAGGAAAGGAAAGCAAAAAGAGAAGTACTGTATAACGAAGGAGTCGGTAATTCCATCAATCCAAACAAAGAGAACGGACAAAAAGTCAACCGAGCGCTTACCGTTGCGAGCCACGAAGAGTACAACCTTAAGAGCCATCGCCTAGGTGCACATTAGAATTTGTACCGGGGTGATAGCCTTTGTTCATATCCGACCCAGAGTCCTCATCCTCTGCTTCCATGCTCGCATACTTCTCTTCAGCGCTGGTGATACAATGCATGTTTGCGCCGAGTTTGTTCATAGTTTCCATCCACTCCTCATAGGGATCGGAATCGTGAACAATTCCACCGCCTATGTGTATACGTCAGTAATTGTATTGTTTCAAAAATGCAAGAGCGGTAGCACACATACCAGCTTGAAGATAGGCTACACCGCCCTTGATCATCATAGTTCTCAAAGCAATACATGTATCCATACTATCACTCTCGTATCCCCAATATCCAACAGCACCACCGTAGACACCACGGCGCTCCTTCTCAAGTTCACCAATGAGTTCCATAGCGCGAACCTTAGGAGCACCAGAGACAGTGCCCGCCGGGAAAATACTTCTAAAAGCATCAAACCTCGTCATTCCCTTTCTGAGAACCCCCGAAACCTGTGAGACCAAATGCATGACGTGGGAAAATCTCTCCACAGTCATTAATCTATCGACGGTCGTTGTGAGAGGATCGCAGACACGGTTGATGTCGTTTCTCGCCAGGTCAACAAGCATTACATGCTCGGCCCTGTCCTTAAGAGAATTGGCCAGTTCAGAGGCGAACCCATCATCCTCCTCACGGGTCTTTCCACGCTTAACTGTGCCTGCTATGGGATGGGTAATGATACGGCCATTCTCGGATTTGACCAGCAGCTCTGGCGACGCACCAACCAATTGGAAATCTTTACAATCCATATAGAAAAGATACGGGGAAGGATTAACAGTGCGCAAGTGTCGGTAAATGTTAAATGGATGCAGCGAAGTTGGCCTTGAAAATCTCTGTGATGGAACGGCCTGGATAATGTCTCCCTTCACAATGTGCGCTTTCAGATCACGCACGTGTCCTTCGTAACCTTCCTGCCCAACATTAGAAGTGTACTGTTGGTTCTTCCGAATCGGTGGCTGAGGAGGAAGCGGAATATCTGTCGACTGTAAGGTTTTAACAACCTCCGAGACAGTCATCTGAGCTTTCTCGTACAATCCCTTCAACTCCTCCTCTATTAGGTCGCCTTCCGGTATACGAATGTGTGTAATAATCTTGATGGTCATGTAGAAATGGTCGAATGCCACCAGAGTGTCATACAGCATAAACAGCGACTCTGGGGTTCCGATAACATCCTTCAAGGGCCTGGCGGTCCGGGGTTCGAAGTATTTGACACAATCGTATGCCACATACCCGACAGCTCCACCCGACATTGACGGGAGACTTAACCCAGTAATCTTGCCAACACGGTATGTAGCCAACTCCTTCTCGAGTTCGGTAAGGGGGTCAACTTCGGAGCCATGGCCGGTTCCTGTCTTAAATACCTTTCTGGGATCTAGGCGCACCGTCAATAATGATGCGCAACCAAGGGACACCGCCAGGTGGCCCCATACCACACCCCAAGAAGCTGAAGCGCCCAATGGTTTCTCTGCTGGAAGCGCTCTCGAACAAGAATGATAATTTACTCCTGCTCCTAAGCCATGACCCCCATCAGCAATAGACATTGAAAATCCCTGAAGTGATAACTTACTTGGCGCTCAATTTAAGGTAGGCGCTCGAGGGATTTAGAAATTCGGCAGGGATTTGCCCGAAAACCGGGTATATATTCGGAGGGGTAATAGGATTTGCGGCCCTCTCTCTACGAACATGTTCGAGGATAACGGGCAATTCTGGTTGGATGTTCTATAGAAATTCCTTGTGAGCGAAATTCGAAAAAAAAAACGGCGGGGACTTGAAGTGGGGCAAAAGAGAACCAACGGTAGGTTTGGAAACCATTTTTCTCAAGCGGTGGAAGAAGAAAAACGAAGGAAGAGATCAAGAGCGGGAGTTGAAAGATGAGTGTTTATTAGTTGAGTCAATTGAGACGACAAACCGAGCCACCGGTTGCTTAATGTGGTGAAGGGAGAAAGAAGAAGTTGTCACGAAACAAGAGTTGTAAACTACCGTATCATAACAAGGGAGGGAGTGTTTTCGGCACGTCAGGTCTTGGCGTATTCCCGAAACTTTCGCCGGGTAATTCTACGGGAATCTGATACTGTAAAAGGACTATTCCCCCGCCAGGCATTTTGTGCGGGGAAGGATTTATTGCCTTTACACCCCACCTCCCCTTCTATTCCCCACTAACAATATTTATACAAGCTGAGTGAGCTCGGAGTGAACCCCACCAAATAACCCGCCCCGCAATCCACTGTAAATCCCACCCCAACAATGGTAGAAACGAGAAAAGTTATTATAACTGCCTATATTCTATAACACACAGAACTCTACACGAAATACCAAAGCGGTAGTGACTCTTGCGTTTTCCAGCAATCAGACAAAACCCAAGTGAGTTTTCCGGGCTTCGAACCCACACCTGGCCCATCACAAGATATCACTCGTGTCTCCTGGACTCCAGCTCTTAAAAATGCGTGATTTAACCCACATCTCAACACAAGGCGGAATCACCCCCAGCGTCCCATTTTTTTGTTAGTCACGGACCCCCAAGCTATGTTTCCCCAGGCTCTAAAACCCTCTCAGCTAAATTATGTCACTGAGGTCTGTTAAAGTTTTGATAAACTCCTAACTCGATCAGGAGCCAGAGGTATGTAAACACGGAACACATGGGTAATAGCACAGCAGATCTGGGCGAGATCCCAAGATATAATACTCGGGCTAGTAGCGAGTTTACCAGGACACATGCAGAAGCCGTAAGAATTAGAACTACCTCCTAAGTCAGTAACATCCGTTGTATTTTCCTTTCTATTTTCAGCGAAAGGCCGAAAGCCCGTCCCTCCACCCCCCCTTTTATCCCAAGAGGGACTACTAGACATCCCAACGGCAAATTCACTTATTGCGGCTATAACGGTGCCCACGTACTGGGTGCACAAAGGGGGCCTTGAATGAGACCTGAGCCCATCCAGCTACCAGCATCTATGAAGTATCAGTCACAAGCAGAGAACTCAACATGAGAAACATACCAGCCCATCCCCTCATTTCAAATCTCCGAAAGCCCCCCTCATCTACCGTCACCTGCTGCGGGCCCTCCTCCCGTAACCGCCCGACAAACATTCATGACCCTATCCAACCTCTCTATAGAATCCTTAGGATCTTGTTCCTCAGACCAGAATGAACCTCCCAGATCTCTCGTCGTGGGTACCTAAGTTCTGGGAACAGAGAGCAGTTGTTCATAACTGCCTACACATGCCGCACCCCCCTGGGCCCCCAACCAGGGAAAACGGAAATCATCTAATATTTCAAAACTAGAGGAGGGTAGTTACAGCATATCATACGGCCTCTAATTATATAAAGGAGAATCTCTCAAAATGACCCGTCACGTGAGCACATGTGCCACGATCTGAGAAATGCGCTGGGAAACACAAAAAAAATAAAAATACCTAGCAACTGGAAAGCAATAATTACTCTTACTGGAAGTCCCCCTTTGAGACTTCGAGGGCTTGTTCCTAATATCAAAATATTATCATACAGAATCATAAAAGCCTTTTCATGAACCTTACTGTTTGAAAACCAAAGCCTCACCTCCACCCTCTTGAAAATTCTGTGGAGAAAAGAAAAAAACCTTATTGCCCCCCCCCCCACACCAAATCCACTTCTTTCCCCTCATGGACTTTGCACCACAGTTGTGGAGGGGCTCCAGGACTGAACGACAGCCAGAGTTCCTGCCCTGCTAGGAGCGACCTGGCTCCCACGAGCAGTATCATATTTACCATTGCCAACAGTGAGAAATAGGTAACACGCCTCGAAAGGAGGGTGCCTGATATAAAGGAGTGATGATACTTTAGACCATGATTTGATCTGATAGTTTTTTTTGACAAAAATAGCTATCATCCGCTTACGAGCGGGTGGTTTGTGGGACCCCAGCGTAGTTGACACCTCCATGTGGTTCTGGGGCTTTGAAACTAAGATCAACTATTGTAGACTTGCATGATTGAGGTTACATTTTTATCTTGGTTTTTTTTTATGTATCGCATTGTTTGCTTGTTGCTAAATATCATAAAACTAGTGCATAGAATTCATCACCCATTCTCACTCGTACAGGCAGAGCATCGGAAACTCTAGTCGGCGATTGAATTGCGCCCAGGGACTGAGACTCCCAGCCCACCACAACGCCCAGAATTATATGCGGGATTGCTCATTCTTTTAGCCAGCTTGGAACAACCAAACAGTTGAGCTAGGAGTATGCTAACATACAGATTCTAAAGCCTCTTCTAGAGACACCGTGCGGTGGCCATTTTAAGTCAACTACACCAACACGCAGACAGGGCCAGTGTTCCCAATGGGCCCAGCCTGCCACGACTATGGGGTATTTAGCCCGGCCGGAGCCTGCAGGCTTTGAAAAGCCTAGTCCTGGCCTGGCCGGGCCCAGCTATAGGCCGTCTAGGCTAAGTACCTGCCACCTGATAGGCCGACCTGGCCTATATGGCCAAGCCTACAACCTCTTCAGATCTTTGGTTTCCCTTCGGCGCATCTTTCATTCTACTAAACTAGTCCGAGTTACTCCGGCGAGAACCGTAAGTTAAATAGTCCCTACGCAAATTCCACCCGTTGGTGTTAATACTCGAGTAGAATTGAACGAGTATCAATAAGACCATTAATAGTATTAGGCACTGATCCTATGTGTAGGTAGTGATATGGATTTGCTCGTGGTTGATAAAAATCGCCGAGGTCTAATAGAATTGGGTCAACCATAGCGGGCACATTCGCTGATGGATTTAATAGAATTGCTGCGGAAGAAGCTGGGTCGGGAGGGGGGGTTGTAGGATAGGACTGCGTTGGAGAATCTGGAGATAGATTGCCTGGACTTTGTTGAGCTGGCTGTGGACCGGTAATCACGTAGTTATCATACTTCAACCAACAACTGAGGATATAGACAAAATAATAAACCACAAGGAAAGTTGTAAGGAATCGAGCCACTCTTAAAACAATCAGCTCTAAAGATCCCAGCTGCAGGCCTGTAGGTTCATACCAGGCCTGGTAGGCTTCTGCAGGCCGGTTGAGTTCAGCCTATATCCGCCTAGGCTCATCGTCAAAGCGGCCTGCCTTGGCCTGGCCCATTGGGAACACTGGACTGGACACCTGGGAACACTAGTAAGGACAGACAAAGTTTGATCTCAACCCGATCGCAGCGGTGCTCTAGACTACAAGGACAGTACACGATGAAGAAGCAACTGCTTGACACCAGATATAGCTATCATCGCAAACGGGATAAAAGGATGCCAGCGGGATATCCAAAACGACTCCAGGGACCCAGTTACTAGCCTCCAGGATGGTCACTGCTCACCCTGGGGCTAAACCTCGCTCCGACGTCCGGGGTGCTACAGTGGGCAACTTTGCCCTTCGTGTTTATTTGATGGACGACAAATGGGACGTACCATGGTGAACAGATTCCGATTCAAGTGAGCCAATGGTGGCCATCCCAACCCATGCCTGACCCACAGAAACGAGACCGAAACAGATGGGAATAAACGGGAAAAGGTTAGGAAATAAATCCCAGAGACAAAGGATCTCCCGAGACAACGGAAGTAATTAAGACCAAAATACGACATCACTCTATGGCGTTAGGTACTTTTTCCTCCCTCAAACGTACCCCTAACGAACCGTCACCCGTTTAAAAGCGAGAATATAGAAGGAAGGGAGGGAGGAGGGATAGGAGAGAGGTAGGAGTTGATGAGGTGAAAGGAATAAACAAAATCATTACGAAAAATAAAAAGGTCAAAAGAGTATCAAAAAGGCACCGAGAGCAATGATGGAGCCACAGCACTACAATCCCTAGTAGTCTGTAGTCCCACTTCCCCTCGCCGCCCCCGCCCCCGTCCGCCAAACTGACCGACTCCTCGTGACTTTACGGTTATGTTACTACGGCCTCTAACTTCTTCACACCAAAAATATGACGTCGAGGGCAGTGTCAACGATCGCCTCCGGCTTATTTCCCGCCTCTGTGCCGGCCTCGCAAACGCCGGCTTTGGCGGGGGTGCTGTGCCACTCTTCGTCGACGAGTCTATCGAACCCCCTCGTTCCTTTAACGATTAGCCTGAAAGTAAGCAACATGTCTATTCCTAAGAGTGAGAGAAAACAAATTTGATTCAGGGGTATCGCCAACAAAGCAGACAGCCTCGGGGCTACTGCCAGGTCCGCAATTCTTCTCGCACCAGTCCCCAAGGAAACGAGCGGCTTAGTTGAAAGTACCAACCTGCGGCTTCCCAGATGCTGCCCCGCTGGTGAGTTTTTTCCAGGCACTCCCGTTAAATAAAGCTCCGGCATAGCCCTCAAGGCACCCACGACAAAGCGTTCCTAATTATGGTTCGTCCTCTAGTGAACATCGTTGAGAGAAAGAAGATTGGTGGTCCCTTGTCAAAGGTTCTCGAGAGAGCTCCCACACGGCGCTTCATGGACATCAGTAGATAAATAACGACCTATGCATCGCCACCCCAATCCTGCCCTCGGCGAACACAAAGATAGCATCCACAGCGATAACCGGGAGTTGGCGAGCTTTCTCTATAAGCCTACTAAATGGGACTATCAAATCACCGAGTGTCATTACGTCCTCAAAACCGTACCCTTCTGGGACTTTACAGCAGGTTTTACCTGCCCCACCGGTGACGAGGACTACCATGGATCCCCCGCCACTTCTCGCATTTGGGTGTGACCGTAGATGAACTGTTGGTGTGACATGAGGACTTGCGGTTGTCTGTCTAGATCCGCACATCCCGCTTTCTCCGTCTTTACACCTCCCAATAGCACCAGCCAACAACACTCCAAACCCAGGGGAAGGGTTGGAACATAGCTTGCCCCTGTTACAAAGATATACGGTACCTCAGTGCCCTTCTCTTCCTTACCACTTAGGATTCGGGGTGTCTCCACAGCCTCGGAGTTGAGCTCCCAACCATAAATGGGGACACTTTCGATACCGAAAGCAAAGTCATAGTTAGTGAATATAGTCAGGGCAACAACTGCCTTGGTCACCGCAATATCAACTAATTCCAGACGAGTTCGAGGTGGAGCCATTGAATCAGGAGTAGTCATCACCTGAAAAGTAGATGGGGGAACAATGACAGTTGGGTAAGAGCAGAGCACTGGCTTCTTGTGCCAACCTAAAACCCCCGGGGACGTTGGCGGACAGCGGTGAATGGGGTCGTAAGCTATGAACTATAGGGTTTTGTGAAAGGAACAAAAAGGGACAAGCCAGAATAGTAATTGAAAGTATCGTCTTTTTGGCTTCCCGGCAATGTGTGGAGATCAATACTGGAGGGGAAACAGAGGGATATCTCCAGCACTCATATTCGGAGAGCCCTGCCCGTGTGATGAGAATAAAGGAGAGCCGGAGATATCAGAGGCCAGTAAAACTGCACTGGCCTAGAGTAGAGTTTTACCAATGTAGCCATAGCTTGATCATAGCGCGATAAAGAATCCCGGTAAACCTACATATTGTTCAGTACATAAACACTAGCCAAAACCCGGGAGCGGCTTTTCATCCATCCATTCCCCCCAGCACCCATCACCGAGGAGTTCTCCCTAAAATAACGAAGCAACCCAGACCGACTCCAGCTGATTGTCGTAGGTGATCTCAATTACTATTCGTCGTTGATTTCCCAAGAAGCAGGTCTCTCACCATAGCCTATTGTGCAATCCAGCTTTCTCCTCTTCTCCTTCTACTACTACTACTGCTCTAACCACTCGTGAAAGTTATTATATCCAAGAGAAAGTGGTCAAGTCAGCCATACAAGCAATCCTCACCGGTACAGCGGCATTGACCCGGGTATCAGAGCGCCCTCGGGTGCCATCCGCTCGCCATGCATTTTTTTCCTTTTACTTTTGTATTATTCCCCCATTCAGAAAACTGGACGAAAGAAGGAATTGGCTCGGAAATTCCTGGACCATCGAAAGGCACCCAATCCCTTTGATCCCACCAAGCAACCACGGAATCCCCCGTGTTGTTGCCTAAGACGAGCAAAGATCAAGAAGGAAAACAGGGAACATACCGTAGAAGCCTTGGCTCGGGGGGGTCGTGTGGGGGACTCGTTTGGGGGTTTGAGTTGCATCGTTATCTTTAAGGGTCCTAACATCCCCACGCCTTTTATCCAATCGCCGACACTACCCGGTAACAACGAAAGAGGTGGGCTAACAAATCCATACATATCATACCTCAAGTGCCAAACCATTCCTTCTATCATATCATACCCAGCAGAAATGCAGAGGATAAGAAGAGTAAAGGTAAGGCACAGATGCGGCACAGTATGATACCGGTATGATACGTATTGCATACTCTCCCGGATAACCCTCATAGCCAAGATAGCCCTTACACGACCCGCTCAACTCACCCTAACCCATCAGCGCTAACCCCCCCCCCCAAACCGGTTAGACCCCCCCTTCATAATTGCTAGCCAAACCCTACCACAGATGACACCCGACGCACGATAGCTCCCCGCTTGAATCGAGAGGAAAAAAAGATCTTTGGAAATAATGATAACCGCTACCTTTACATAAGATAAGTCCCCACGGCTGAGGGGAGGCAGGAGGAGCTTTACGGTATTGCTCGCAGAGTTAGCGCGGCATTGCTCCCGAGAAAGGGAAAGCAATCCAGATACCGTACCGGTAGACTATCCTACCAGCGCCACAACGAGGGCTCGATGGTGGTCCCTGTTTAGCACATCTTGGATATCCACCCAGCCCCTTTTCCCTCCGAAGCCCCTATCGCATGGTCGAGGCAGAAACCCCAGGAGTCCAGAGGATGCTGCATTTCCTCAACTGCATCGAGTGGCCAATTCCTAGATCATTTGACTAGACGCCTAATAAACTTAAAAAAAATATGAAAAAAGAGCTGCCAACAAAAGAGATGGAAGAGAAAACATGTTAATATCTTCTTCCATTCCCTTACACCTCGAGCCCGCACTTGGTCGCATCTCGTGTCTAGAGGGGGAGAGAAGGAAAGGAAAAAAGGGAAGAAGCGCCCGCCAATCATTTCCCCTCAAAAGTTTGGGACCCAATGCACCAAAAACGCCTTCCTGCCTCGCGCCCGGACAGCCTTCCTGTCAGTCTCCAAGCGAAGGAATAAAATTCCTCCTTCTTCCAAAAGAAGGAAAGTACTCGAGTACAACGTGAGATCCTTCCCCGAAGCAAGCAATAGCGCAGGAGAGTCCCCATTTTTCCGGGCTCGCTATGCAATGCGGAGGTGGGGCCTGTATCATACAAGGTATCATTCAGTGCTGCTCACCGGGTCAGGAGTGGGGCTGAAAGATGATGATATAGTGGAGACACTGGTGCTAGGGTACGGACGCAGGTGATTGGATAACCAGGAGTTAGAAGTATCATACTCGTATGACACCAAGGCTTCCCGCTTGTCTGAGCAATTTCATGCCAAACCCGTTCATTTATTTCCTGCGAGGACAGTAGGTTCAGACCTCCGGATTAAATTACCTGGTCGTCCGATCACCCGCGTCCATCCAAGTGCTAGTACTTTGTTGCCATTCCTGGAAATGAAAAATGAAAAAAATTCAATGATGATGAGTAAAGGTGCTGTATACACTCACACCCCGTTATCCCGGACGGCCAAAATATAAAGAATCTGTCCGGTACAGTGGGTTATCCGGAACGACGAGTCAAGTTTTGCTGTGGAAATTTTTGGAATTCACAACATTTCATACGGGACAGCGAGGTATCCGTATTATAGAGATCCGGGACAGCGGGGTTTGAGTGTATAGCTATCATCGGCGGATACCCCAAAAGGGTATTGGGAAACCATAACAAATACAGTCACACCTCGCTATATAATGGATCTTGTTATATAAGGGAGGCCTCGCTATTACGAATGAATCCTCTGTGGATTTACCCCCCTGCTCCCATACAAACGGCTCCCGTTATAAGGGATTCCGTCCAAAACCTCGCTATAGCGAACGAAAAATCATGATACCCCGGCATTGGTTACAGCGAGGTGCGACCGTATAATAAGTTTCCTCTGCAATTTCTAAGAATTGTTTCGTTTTCCCTTAGCTGTGCAGCCCAAAATAGGAGTGCAATGCGAGGGACCGTGATAGATTACCCTGTACATATCCCCGCCACTCTAGCGCCATGCGTACCGGAAGTCCTGACATGTACCGGTAGTCGTACGGTACCTGAAGTCGATGCGGAACCCCAGATCGTGAACACAAATCCGGGGGAACACAAGATCTCTCGGTTGCCTATCCACAAGCTTGCGGAGGCCCGCGAGGAAAAAAATTCCACCGGACCCCGAAAGTTACGCGGCAATCACCACTTGATCCTAATCTCCCCGAACGTGGCCCATCGCACTACCGGTAGCCTACATGACCGTAGTCTATGTACTTGTATGATACTACGAGTAGTACAGTACTCGAGTACCGGTACGCGGCAGAACTTATGCTCGTATTAATATACTACTAGTATCTGCGCTTAGAACCGATGACCCGGGGGCGAGCAACTACCGTGGACCGCCAGTACCGGCTAATTATGGACGCTAGAGAGACCTGGTAGTCAACACTGAGACAATTAAGGGGCTTCTGTCGATATACAGGTATCCCTCAAAAAGCTGCACACGAGTATGATACCAGTATGATACCAGGGTTACGGGTAGCCAGTGAGCATTCCAAACAAAAGCTCATTTCTGATACGCACCCGCCAGTAAAACCTATTGATTGTAAAAGAGAAGAAGCTCCGTGAACGCTTTGCCCTCCCGCAGAGCCGCAAGAGATCCATGGATCACGCAAGCAGATGGCCATACACTCGTATCATACCCTCACGCCTAGCGCCAAGACAGCTATTAATCAATATCATACCAAGGTGTCAGGATATTTTATAAATGGCCAGGTAGGGGCCCACAGGGACAATTTGCAGGAGCCAAGGCACCTTCCTCCAGCCAACTGAAGATATGATACCATCACCGGGAAGAGAGGGCAGCTGCCGGTAGTCTTAAACGAACATTGTGAGAAATCAGAAAGGGTTCTCGTAACCCCAAACAATATCAAAGAATAAATCCCCAGAGCCAGAAACAGGGTATCCAGGCAAAAATCGGTATATATAACCGACTGTCTAGGTAGGGTGCTCCTGTCCTGATATCAGGGCTATCCAACAATTCTAGTTTTCATGTAAGGAATATAGTGCCAGCCACTGGTAACCCGGGTATTTTTCGTCAAAAGCATTCCCCCACTTTGAAGGTCTGCCACTCTACTAAATCATGACATAAATGTTTTTCTTACACACCAAAAGTGCTCTCCCACTGGCCAAAAATGGTGGCCAAGGCTGGGGCACCCCAATCTATTGTATGATTTCAGATTAATAAGAGAGGAACTGCTGAAAATAGAGCTTATGCTTAATATTACTAAATTTGACACCCTCGCATGATTATTCAGCAATCAGAGGAAATGTTACGGTGCCCCAGTTACCACAACTGGCACCATAGACTGCGGTGGGTGTGCACGTTTTGCGAGTATGGGGAAATGCTTGCTGTTTGCGCTTTCCCCGGTCAGTGCTACATGGGTTAACCCACAGTACAACACCATACGAAACTCGCCTACGAGTACTCGAGTACTGTGCCCGCGCAGTGCAGTACCGGTATGACCTCGCATATTGCGAACACGACCAGGCTGATTGACATGGCCCTTCGTCGGCTCGTGTGGGGCTGGGGGCCTTTGAGGCGATCTCATGAATGGTGGTCGCCGCCACGGAAGCGGGCCGCTCCTAGCAGCGGATCCTGAGCCTACTGTGTTGGTTGTGTGCGAGACCACTGCAAGAGTGATGTACTCAGGCACGGTACTCGTACCTCACTGGTAGCCGGCAAATTTACTTATCGGGCTGTACTAGTAGTCCACCTCTATCTAGGTCGAAGGTAAATGTGTTCTATCGAAGCGGATCCTTACCAACATCGCCACTACTGCCGCAGCAATCATGGCTGGCGCCGAGAGCCTCTTACAGGTAGATAAACAGACTGCAGACTCCACTTCCCAGAAGCACAATTTCTATAGTACTCGAGTACAATTCTTCATCAGACATCCGATCACCATTTACCCCTTTGGCAAAATGATGCCGGTACGATGCCCGCCGCACCGAGCGATTTTTTTATCAACTCCCAAGGCTGTGCAATGTCGATCTCTACCCAGTTTAACCCGCCGTCAAACCAGGTTCATATTTACTCGTGCGTGACGTCGCCCGTTGAACAGCTACAGTACCGTAGCGGCTTATTCCAAGGATACGGGCAACCTGTTTTTTTCTGAAGGTGGCGAAAACCGCAGCAGAATACTGTACGAGTACTGCACTCGTGCTATGTATGGTCTCCAGAAGGGTCAGCACCCCACCTTAAATAGATGGCGGATCACAAAATAGACCCTGTGCTGACACCGTCCAGACGCTCGTGGTGGGCCATATACGGTACCCAATCATGGTAGCGGCACTACAGTAACTGCAGGCTCTCGAAAAGTTGTCTTGGCCTCAGCTAGTCGGGAGTTATGCATCGCCAATTGTAGCTTCCCGCGAGCTATAACTATCCTATCCGCACGGTACCGCACGGTACTGCACTCGAGCACTTGCGGAAAATCAGCTCGGGATTTGGTGGACGGGTTAAGCTCGTTAACGGTCTACGCCACACCCGACGGGGTAGTACAGTACGAGTATCGTGATCGCAATCCATGTCTCGAACAGCCTCAGGGCGCTTGGATGACGGATTTTGGCTTTGCGTGGGGTGTCGGTAGTGGGGTCCATGACACAGTGCAAGTACTCGAGTACAGTACGATAAGACACATTACTCGAGTACGGGGAACTGGGCCGAGAACCCCCCCAAAAAAGAAAGAAAGCCCTTCTGTAGCGAAGGCTCTTCGGTGGTAACGAGTGGAATCCGCTAAATCCGGCGGCTCTACTGGCCAAATACCGGTGCGTCGTTGCAGGTGCCAGGCAAGATGTTCTCGCGCAAGACAGGGATTATTTGGCAGGTCAACTTAAATTAACTACTCTACCGTACTTGTACTCGAGTACAGTATTCATTAACTTTTTGCCTGGCACGTGTACGGTACCGGTTGTCTGCTTGTGTCGACTTCGAAGAGGTCACCTGCGCCGGAATTCCTCAAAGATCTTTTTGCTTTTTCCCGAACGCAATTTCCCATTGCCAGCCCTCCGTCCTTTAACCTCGAACTTTACCTCTCTCGGTTAGAGGAACAATCTGAATCCTTGCTGTGGCGTCGAGGTTGGAGGACGGCCAAAGCCACAGCCCCTGAAGAAACCGGTAATATCGGGTCACCGCACTTCAGGATGCTTGTACTCGTACGAGTACACGGCAGTACTGGCCACCTAAAACCGACCTTCTTGTTGCCTAGATTGCTTGTACCGGTAGCTTAGTACTTGTACTTGTAACACATGCAACAGCGTACGGTACTTTGTGTATTTGTATGCATTCATACCGGTATATTCCCCTGCCCGAGAGTGCCCATCTCACCGCTCCCAAAGAACACTCGCTCGATAAAAGGTTAGAGTCTATAGAATTGGAGAGGAGCCGATTCCGAGTTCGTTTCTAGAAGGAAAGTCTCTTGTTGTCTTTCCGGAGCGTTCGCTAATCTTCGCTCAGATGCCCGGCGCCGTACGGTATTGCCCCTAATCCTTCGTTGGGGACTCGGTGAAGGGACACGGTACCGGGGCCCTGCCCAAGTGTCCATTGGCAATCTGATCTGGCCTAGAAGTGCAGTTATCGACGATGGTCATTCCAAAAGTTCCCCCTTCGTCGAGTCACCTTGTTATTACCAGAGTTGGGTGCGGTTAAAGCACCGAGGGGCACAATCTATAAAAAAACACTTTCCTCTTATTCCTGGTTTTCATTGGTTGGGGCGTCTGGCTGGGATGCAGCGCTCCGGGTAGGAAATAATACGCCCCACCACCCGCACATCCTGATACATTTCTGAATGTTGTCATCCCGGGGGCAACTTCGAAAATAGCAAGCATCTTTTCTCTACGTTACACCCCGATCATCCTCAATCCTTCGAAGGCTTCGGGCAGCGACGACTCGCGTCCAGCTGTTTCCTCTGAGGGGAATCCGTAGACTACAGTACAAGTATAACCAGCGCCACCGATAGCGTAGGAACCTGAACAATTGGCACTCGCGCTAAGACGTCCGAAATTCCCCTTCTCGGACAGGGGGGGCAAAAACGCTGCGAAAACTGACCCCCTGAGCCCCAGCTTAAGACGGAAATGTGCCGGACCATGCCAGCGAGGGCAAGTCCAGCGTCCTGGCACGGATGCCAATTATTCGCCTTCTTACGGTAGCCCATTCTGATGACGGGCTGCGAATGATTGCATGCTTGTTGGTATGCTAAGTTAGGGAGGTTATTCTGTGGCACCCTGAAAGCGCTTCACAATCATCATACTAGTAAATCACTCCAGCCCCGAATCTCTCCCCGGATGAAAATCTTTCCTGCCTATTTCCCGCTATGTCCCTCCTTCTCTCTTAAAACCCACTTTCTCATTGTTCAAATCCTTTTCTAAAGCCCTTTCTTTCACGGCTGAAGAAATATGCCACTCTTTAGATCCGGTGTTTGGCTACTTGGAGTATTACTATCCTTTGCCTCAGTGGCGCACAGCAGAGATGCCGATCCTACCGAAGATTTTTGCTCCCTAAGTGCGCATATGAGTAGGGCTCCTTCCAACCTGCCAAATCGCCTTTTTTTTTTGTCTCTTTCGCTTGTTTACTGACCAGATATCGAAGTATATAGTGGCCCAGAAAGATGGTATGCTTTATATTGCTGGAGGATGGATGTTGTATCCTTCGCCATACACGGGTTACAATGGCCCTAGTTCGTGTACCCCCTTTTGAGCGTGCAACCTTCTCCCCTTTCCCCAAACTAACGACTCGGCAACGCGTTCAGATACGGTGCTTCGATCGTTGAACTTATCGAAGAGTTTCCAAACTTCCCTTGACAGTGTCAATTATATTCGAACGGAGGAATTTCCGGGCACAATACCTGGTGTACAAGATGCCGCGTTCTTCCCTACCGAATCCGGCTTCGACCTTACTTTTGGAAGGTGGTGGCCATACAACAGTACGATTTACGGACAGCGGGACGGTCCTGTCGAGAACAGGAAATGGCAATATGGGACTGCGAGTCAACAATGGACGGATACGGGAATAACGCTAAAGAATTGGTTCTACGAGGGTTCCATGAGGGTATCCAGTTCAATGACAGCATGGGTTCCGTCGTTGAAGAAGGGTTATCTTTTCGGCGGTACTTTTGTCTCGGAGAACGGGACGTCGCTCAAGGTGGTGGAGTTTGAGGAGCACAACGGCTTGATCACTTATGACCCGGCTGACAATACGTGGACAAACGAAACTACGCCATTGGGAGGAATAGCTGAGGGTGGCTTGGTGCACATTACGACAGCTACGGATGAGATCTTGATTCAGCTTGGTGGAAGGTCTGAGTGGGCTACCCGTATGGTATGTCACTCCGTCTTTTGAGGTTCTCCGCGCAACATACTGAAAATGCGGTAGAGAGTGTTTTCCGAGATCAACATTTACAGCACAAGACAATCAAAATGGTACACTCAACATCTACCTCCAGATGCTGTGGTGCCGACCCCCCGCTTCGCGTTCTGCACTGCTCTCAAATCAGCTTCGGATGGTTCCAGTCATCAGATATACATTATGGGAGGCCTTGAGGCTGGCACTTCAGTAAATGTTAAGGGGGGTCCAACCACTACATCCGTCTGGGTTCTTTCGATTCCGAGCTTTGAGTGGGCCCAACTACCGTTCAAGTCAAAGTCCACAGCTGCGGACCCGAAAGGGAGGATTTCACCAAGATGCCAGGCCATTGGAGAGCACCACATCTTCTACTATGGCGGGAGGAATGTCCCGAGTTTCTTCACCGTCCCCACCTGCGACAAGAAGGCAAATGCTGCGTTCCTGTTCGACGTCAACACATTGACATGGACAGACGAGTTTACACCGAATGAGGGAAGATATGAGATTCCCTCGACGGTTGTTGGGCTTATCGGTGGCGAGTAAGTTGTCATCCAGCTCCCCAAGACACGGCAAATAGTGCGCCATGAATGAATACTAACCACCCTATAGCAAAAACGGAGGTTCGACCAAGAAGGGCCCAGCCAAAGGCTGGAGCGACCCGGATCTTGAAACCATAATGGCACTAAAGACCACCACAGACGAGGGCTCGGGTATCGGTACAAACAGCACTGGCAACAATGGCACAAGCCCAACCAGCGGACCAGACACCAGCTCAGACTCACCTAAAACCAACGTTGGGGCAATAGTCGGGGGTGCGGTAGCGGGTGTAGCGGGTGTGGCACTCGCCCTCCTGGGTGCGATGATGCTCCGCCGACACCGCCAAAAGAAGGCGTCGCAGCTTTCCCCAAACCCTATGAAACCCCCACCGAGGTATGCCGGGGCCCTGGAGGAGGGCCCAAGCGAACTCATGGCGCATAGTCTGGTTAGTGGGGGCGGAGCGTACGCTGCGGAACTGCCGGCGGGGGAGGTGGCGAGGGAGATCCACACTGGGCGGGGGAAATGATAGCGATACTTGAGGGGCAGCGCCATTTCGCCCGTCGTCTATTCATCGTACCCGCTCGCCTAACTTTCCCCCCACTTCTCACACCCATCGGGCACGCACTGGATTGTACGAGTATCATACTTTTTCCAATTCCCAGTTTCTCTTTCTTTTTTTTTTTTTTTTTTTTTTTCTTTCGTTCCTTCTTTACATAGGGGTCAGCGGGAGGGTTCCATCATGTTTCCATGGCAAATCATATTCTTCTATATTGCACTGTATCATACAATACACCATTTTAATCAATAAAGAAAAAAAATTGAAGAACCATACATGTTTGAGTGAGAATAATGGCAAAAATCCAAAACCATACTTGACACCTTACCGCACCGCATAGCATAACATAGCATAGCACAACAGACATCCAAAACAATCCCCCATACAAACCCCCCCACCGCGCCTTGCCTCACACCCCAGTTACTCTAGAGCAGCACAACCCCAACCACGAGTCAAACGCACAGCGACAACCCCCAGGAAACGGAGAGCAAGGACCAAGGAGAGAAGGTAAGGTAAGAGATAAGCCTTATGCGCGGGTACGATACGAGCATCAGCACTAACACTAACTCGCAATAACTAGCACCCGCGACATTCAGTAGACTACCGTACCGGGTACAGTACCAGTACCAGTACCGTACATACTTGAACCGCAAAATCTTCCATCTCCGGCTCTCCCGTCATCCCACTATGGATTTATTTATTTCATCAGGTTAGAGTACCTTAACAGCTGAACTGAACTTTTACAAGTACAGTACAGTATAGATACTCGTATATACACAATCCCACCGGTCAAAAAAATACGTTTTCGATTTTTCTGAACACGTCATATTAGGCGGTGCGGCAAGGGATCAGTTATCGTAATTGTCTGTATATAGCACTGGTAATAGAACGGAGAGAAAGGTTCTGATGGTCTAAGCGCGGTACTGTACAGTACAGTAGTCTACAGTATCATACTCGTGCTCTACTGACATGGAAATTAGATGATACGGCCGGAGGTTAGACTATTACGACTGATTCCTTGGATGGATGGATGGATGGATGGATGGATGGCTTTGGTGACGCGGCCGATAGGTCTAAGTCTAGGTCTCTCTCTGCCTTGTTCTCCAGTATGATACCGGTAGGAACGCTCCCGTCAACAACCTAACCTAACCGCAGGTATCTACAGTACTGTAAGTATGATAAATTTACCGTATTGTCATCATACAGACCGCCATCAAGATCCGAGAATTTAATGATTGTGACTAACTATGATATTTCCTTTTTTTTTTCTTCCTTTTTCCTTTCTTCTTTCTACTCGTACGAGTGCCATACGGTACAGTAATGCTTGATCATAACAAACCCTTATCATACCTCCCATGGAAATTGCCGGGACCGCTTGTTTCACATGGCCCTTTCTTTTTTTTTTTCTTTTTTTTTCTTTTTCTTTCTTTCTTTGAGTTGGGGGGGGGGGTGGGGCGGGGTATTACCTTTCGGTGCAATTTTTTTTTTGAGGCAATTGTCTACCCGTAGTTAAGGAACAGAGACCAGAACCGGAAACGACGACGACGGTCTTTGTTCTATTTTATGTTGAGGCCCTCACAACTTGTTTCTTTGTCCTTGTTCAGCGCGCGCGCGGGGGTAGGTAGGTATTAAGAAGATAGCGCTGTAAAAGTACCATGCAATTATCCCACCGGTGAGAGTATCATACAAGTTACCTTACGACAACAGACTTAACCGGTAGGATACCGATATACGAGTACAAGTAAGTATCATACCGCAGGTCATAATAAATAAATAAATAGGGTATGACAGGTGCAGTGCTGTATCATGTATAGTGCTCGAAATGCCCATTTCTATAAGGGAGGGTGGTAAAAAATGTGGAATAAAATAAAAAAAAAGGACGATTCTACCCGGTGTTTTGGGATTTCTGTGCTTATAAATGGTACGGTATGATATCATACCTACATCCAGGTTACTCTGCGGTGCTCGCTTTGTTTCGATGATTCTTTGATTAAATGCAGGAACAGACAGATAAACAAAGCGACGGACGGAAAGATAGACAGACAGGCGGTATATGCGAAAGAAGGAAAAAAAAAGAAAAAACTTACGCGTATAAATTCGCGACGAATGCCCCGTTTTTTTGTACTCCCCATTATGCCATCGCAGAACCTCAGTACTTGTGTGATGATACCCGCGCGGATGCTAGCGGGAAATTACTACGCTTTTACAATCATGGCTGTCTACTATCTCCGCCCGGTCCGGCATAAGAGTACCGTACACAGTTCCTGGGCATGCACAGAGTCCTGACGGAGGGGATCCCAGATTGAAAGAAACACTTGAATTCAACGAGCTTAACAGTACTGTTTGTATCCGCCGGATTCACCACCCTCAGGAGTGGAGATAAACACAAACTGCAAACACTATTATGTACAAAACCTAATAGACTATTTACCTCTATAACAGTCTGTTTCATGCATTTCAATTGCAAACACAATCAAAAGGATTTTGCAATCCTCTTCGACACGGGGAGGGGGAGGTTTGCCTATTTTCAACAACCTAAGAATACAAACAAGGTAGTCCAGCAAGTGGAACAACAGAAAAACGTAACAAGCAGAAAGAACATATTGATAGCCAGCCAGTACGATACCTAGATAGAGCATTTCAAAAGCACCCAGAAAGGGAAAGCGAAAAGTGAAAAAAAAAATCAGAAAAATTGCAAAGATGAAAGACAGAAGGCAGAGAAATATGAGAGGGCTATCTCTCACTGATTAGTAAAAAAAAAAAAAAAAAAAAAGGTAAAAAAATACGGGGAATCATGAGTACCAAATGGAAGAACAACAAAAAGAACATGAAAACACCCTATATATCTACCAACAACTCAAAGGTAGTACATTGTCTGTCTAATGTCGGCATGCGGACCTCCAGACCACAGTTGCACCGCTTTCGAGTAGTTTATTCTCGCCTCATCATCGCTATTGGTGCTTCTGACACTGCCAGAGTCGCTGGCATTGAGGAGGCCATATATATAACAACGACCACGTTCGCAGACCAAGTCCGCATAGTAAGCTGGTGGGCAAATGCTCACAGACTTAGTAGCACGACCAAAGAGATAGCACAGATTATGAGTCTAAATTCAGATCAATCAGGTTAGTCAGGACTTAAAAATCTTGTATGAGTGGATGAAGAAGAGATACCAAAGTTTGTAGGGAGTCTGCATCAAACCCATTCTTGTCGTGAATGACATAGTAGTGGGCTGGCCTGGTGGTGCCTTGAAGTCCTGCATGCGCTTGCAGGTAAAAGTCGTAATCATAAACGGCCGTAACACCTCGATCAACTACTGTTCCAGGCGCGGGGTTTCCAAGTCTATCGGCTCTGTCACGGTCCGTCGGGTAGAAGCGTGTGTGGTGACGCTTTCCAACGATGATAATTGTAACTTTTGGCCTATAATCCGCCCTCATTTTAACACAGGCCTCGCGAATCCTCGGAAGCTCCGCTTCAAGCACAGTCTTAAATTGGCCTTCACTGACGCCATCACGATATACGAGAATCGCTTCAGGCAGCCTGCCACCGTTCTTCTCCCTCCAGAGTGACAAACGTTCAAGCATCATCTCCCGTAAGTCAGTAATCATCTATTATTTTGGAACAGAATCAAGTTAGCAACCAGCCAATTATGCTATCGTGTTAGTTAAGAAACAAACCTCTTTTTTAGACTCCTGAAGCCTCAAGGAAGCCGGATACTGAGCAAAATCTGAGTCGATACTGGCAACAACCCCAGCAATAGAAGGAGTTCCCCTCAAACTTCCCGGTGAAGGATGAGTAACGTCGCATCCAACCTAAAATCATTAGTTCCTTCCTGCACATAATATAATAAAAAATTGGGAGCCCACAATCATTGTTGTCTTCTGGGTCAAAAAGCCCATGTCAGTCTTTCCAAGCCCATGGTTCCTACCATGAAGCTTCAAATTGAACTTCAATGCCAGATTGGCGAAATATTGCGGCTGGCCCTTGGGATTCTGAATCTTGCTAGATTGGGCACAGACAGTACCAATACCAAATCTCACATCACCCAATGTTTTGATAAGAGCATAGTTTGCCTTATCTTGACTCGGTAGGATGACGAGAGCAATTTGAACATTTCGCTTCTTCAATGTCTCGAAGCAAGGTACCAGTTTTGTAGACAAGTCCTGACCCATTGACATTTGAACGGAAATGATACTCTGAGCAGTCAAGGGCGGAAGAACAACACCACACTTTCGGCACATTTCTTGAAGGGAATTACATAGCTGCATGGGGTTCTGCACGGGGGGACCCGATCCGTCCTTCAAGATAATTGCTGCCCAAGTTTTGGCTGCACCGCCCTTAAGAAATCTCACATCCCTAAGGTTCCAGGACGCATCACTGGTGTGCTTTGGACCGCCTGCGTATTGTACAGGTGGTGCAGGCAGAATTCTCGCCGGGACTGTAACCATTTCGGTTGAGACAGACAAATTGAAAGGATTCTAAACAGTGTCAGCATAAAATATCAGGACTGTTGATGGCACATACTAGTAGTTGGCTTGAGGGTTTGAGCCCAAGAATGGATAAACCCTCTCCCACAATGGATTCCGCGTTTTGCTTGGGGCGACGACAAGCATAGGTAATCATTTCGCGTGTCTGTTCATCCAAAAGCTTCCCCTTAAAAGACTGTCCGGGCAGCACCGTGGCTAACTCAGGAGGCAATAAAATTGACCTTTCTCTTGTACCGACGTTAACACACGGGATCTCAGGGTTCCTAAGAGTAATGTTGTATTCTGATAGTATTTAGCAGCCACTCCAAAAATAGAATAGTATTTAATGAATAGCAAGCACTTACTTTTTTTGAAATAGTCGACAACAGTTATAGTTGAACCATCGTCGGAAGTAAATGTAGCTTCCCTAGCAGACCGCCCACCAAGGCTGGCAATCGTTTTGTATTGAAGCTTTCGTTTCCCATTGGGATCCGTAATATGGTTTGTGCTCACGCGCAAACCCTTCAGAAAACCATTAAGATCGGAGCGCTTTCCAACTTCTCTCATTAGGTCTGCAAGGTTTCCTTCTCTATTTGTAAAAGGGTTTATATTAGCTCAAGATCTCTGACAAACTTTCAATAAAACTCTCGGTAGAAAACCAAACATACTTGTAGAAAGCTGTCATGCAAACATTAACGTTGCAAAGGACCCGGCCCATCGAGGGACGGATCGAGGAATAGTACCCACGAAGAGCTAACAATCCACGAGGCAGAGTCTGCTGATTCCGGGGGTCCGGCTCCGAAACAAAGAACTTTGACTTTCCCAAGGGAATAACACCCGGGTTCTGTGAAGGAGGCTTGGCTAAAATAATATTTAGCGCCTGAATCGCGGGTGATGAGTCAAAATCCGGATCCAATCCATTAACATAGTCCTTAAGACTATCTGGCTCGAGCAGCTGAACCAGTGTAATCGTAACAGCGTAGACCTTAGACTTTTCGTGGGGCCCCGCTTGGTCTGCATCATAGTACTTGACCTCCACCTGAAATTTGTCATCAGGAATCTCCAGTTTCCTTGCAGTAATGATCGTTTTCGCATAGTCAGTTGCCATGAGATTCTTGGTCGTTTTGAATGAAGTCAATTCCAACAGCTCAAAGACACGTTTCCTGACCCTTCTGATCTTGGGGTCGGGAGCCATGGCGACGTCATATTTAAAAATCGTCTTTGTAGGCAGAGCCACCGGGAAGTAATTCGCTCGGACCAAGGTCGGAATTCCTTTCGTCCCGAAATTGGGACGGGGAGGCATAAGCGGTTCATTGACTCTCGTTTTAACGGCGACGAGTTGGTTTTCCATGGCCGTAATTTTCGGATCGATAACCGCTGGCGCACCACTGGCATTGCGTAAAGCGTTAAAAGAGCCAACCCGATAAACGTAGGGACAGCAGATGGGCAAACCTCGAAAATATCGAATCACCAGAATACCCACCTCTCCCCCCCCCTCCACGACCTCCACCCCCACCGCCACCGCGACCATACCCGCCCCTACCCCCCCCCTCCCTCCTCCTCCTCCCCTAAAACCACCAAACCCAGCTCCACCGCCACCACCTCTCCCGCCTCCACCGCCACGCTGACCACTCATGATTCGTAAAGTGGAAAGATAACGGTGATTTCTCAAAGCGAAAAACGTTTCAAAAAAAAAAAATGAAACTTTGGGAAAGGAATATCTGACAAGTGCAACTCTAAACGTAAAAGGTTAAAGGAGTAAAGCCCAGAGCCCTACTCAAAAGTGCGGAAAGATGGTTGGTTTTCTCCGAGAACACGAGGGTAGGAGGATGTTTAAGTCGGAGGGAGGGTTTAGTGCTGCAGCTTATATAGTCCTACCCCACCATAAAAAAATGCCAAGACGCCCTGCCCTCTTCTCTCCGAGGGGGGGGGGGGGGGCCAACCCCAACGCCTTAGTAAGTGATTTTACCGGTCACCCACCGAGCACGAGTGTGAGAGACAAGGCTATCAACTGACCCCTCCGCACGGTTATTCTATGGTACGGTGCTCTGACTGCTCCCCTTCCCTTCACTGCTTCCCGCAGCGAGAACTGGGATGGAAGGGGAGGGGGGGTACCTTTGCGGGAACCCAGCACTTAACCCCTGCACTACCGTATTCTATTCTCTATCTATGGTTACGGCTCAGGGAATTGTCACCCTAGCTTGTCCCCATCCCACACATCGTAATGGATTCCGATCTCTAACGAGTGCCACAATTGTCCACAATAGCAACCTCAACAGGTTCCCCCCTCTTCCATTCCCCCTCCTACTTTTCGCCCCTCCGTTGCTCACCAGTTTGCTACACAGTACGAAGGCGGAAGGGTGGGAGGGTTCTCTCCATAAAAACCCATTCACCCAACTAACACTACGCATTCCCCCAGCCAACACAGAAGAGTCTCAATCGCGCCAAGCGAAGCAAAGCAAAGGCAAGTGTACTACCTGTACATCCGTCGCATCCGGAGCGTACTCGCGATGGCGGGGGGGGGATAGCTAGCTGTCGTGGAGCCAGGACCCTCCCTCCCCTTCCCTCCTGCAACTAGAAAGTATGAAAGAAAAAAAGAGAAGAAAAAGAAAAAACGCCGCACAATCGAGTCATTACAAGGCTGAAAAAGCAAAGTCCGGTAGAGGATCGCTGCTTTTCTTTTTTCTTTCTTCCTCCCTTTCCTATTGTTTGATCGGTCGACACTCACAGTTATGAGTTCACAATTGCAACGGGGGTCAACAGGGAAGATCGCAGGAATAGAAGGGAACACACCAATTGAGCGGTGAATGTCAAATCGACTTACCGTGCTTGCCTTCCTGCGCCGTGCTACGATCAGCCTGACTTGCCCAACAGTAACAGTGTTCGTTACCCGCACAGCCCAGGCCCAATCCAAGTCAGACGATGCGATTCCGCTCCAGAGAAGTTGAGAGAGCTGTAATTCCAAGACACCCCACAACGAATTAACTTGAATCTAAACTACTCGAGTAACCTCCCGATCAACGGGAGCGAACCCTTCCCGTCGAGCCAAACTGCTACCGGTGACCTACCCTTCAGCGTCAAGCCAACAGTGGACTAGCACTCGACAAACGAGGCCCACCGGCCGTCTACAAGTAGTCCACCAGAGAAGGCACTGTCCTCCCCCTGAGTCAGGTAGAGCACAAATCGACTACCGCCATACAGGATGGCGTCCGCAACTCGCTAACCCAGGCCGCCGGCAAGACAGAATAAACTGGAACAAGATGGATTTTTCTTCTTCTTCTTTCTAACTCTCTATTTATTTTCAGGCCGGCAGGAAAGCTCATGATATTATGGTATCGCACTGGAATTCGCGGCTGGGAGTCCGAGTTCAAAAATGTTGGCCTGGATGGAACAAGGTATATATATAAAGGGAGTCATACAGATACTATGCAAAGCATTCGTGCAAGCAAGCAAGTGGGCGGGCGATGAGTTGCACCAGTTGCGACGACCATTCCGTCCGCAGTCACTCATCGACGGTGGCGGACGAGTGACTGCCCATCATACAGTACGTATGATACCGATACTGTAACCAGGCGACCGCATTCCTCAAATCATATCGTATCATACAGAGCTTGCCAGCCATATGAGTGCGGGAAGGGGAGGGAGGGCTCGACCTTCCCCCCGCTTCCCCCCCCCAAACACACAAACAAAAAAGTAATAATGAGAAAGAAGGAAAGAAAGAAAAGTCATAGGAGCTATTGACTGACTGATTAATACCTTATACCTCTGCGGCCTGACATTCTCCCCCCCTTCCATAGAGTTTCCTGTTCATTCTCTGCAGCGCATCATCATCGATAATACCATCAACACTGCCTCTTTGAATCTTTTCCAATCGTGGTGAACTCTTCCATCGGCGTAATCGTATTCGTACCCGAAACGGAGAAGCACAACACTCTTTCTCTGTTTAACCCCCCCCACCCTCTTATTCTTTCCCTTCAGCCTCATAACAACTGTATTCAGTGGGAAAAAAGAATGAAAATTAAAAAAACGCAACACAACCATCTCCTCAATAACTATATATACCTCGGGCACCCCACCTTGAAGCAGTACTCTGTAACCCCCATACCGCTCCAACAATCCTCACCGCAAACCAACGGCCGAGCCCAGTTCAATTCCTCCCACGACCACAAGACGACCAGAACCCAAGCAAAAAAAAAAAGGCACTATACCGACACTCACACAGTATAGCAGGAAAGGAGTATCCGAAAACAGGGGCCGCGGGTTTGTATGGGGAGCTCATACGCATAGATTCCTCGCCCTGTATTTTGCGAATCCCTTTGTGATCGGGTGCCCGGGAGCGGCCTCCTCCCCCAATTGAGCAAGACCATCACTGACAGTCGAATTATCAAACTCAGCCGCACCACGATCAACCGATAAGCAAAAGTGTAACAACAGAAAATAAATGTTTCACTTTTTCAGTTAGTCCAGTTTTTCTTCTCCTCCTCCCTGCCTTGCCTATCAAAGGGCAACGATCTCGGAGTGCTAGCGAGAGAGAGAGAGAGAGAGAGAGAGAGAAGAAAGAAGGCACTACTTTT